AGATATAGATCCCTAAAGCAGGGTTGAAAGGGAACCTACTTAACCCCTGAACCCTATCAGTGACCAACATCTCATTACAGTGATATTGCTGGATCTTTCATTGACACTTAACACCCTAATGTCAGTGTGCATATTCTCCATACTTTTCCCTATATATTTCCTAAGGTGCTAACAAGGGGAATTTGCGTATGATGCACGATCCTCGCAGTAGAGAGCGCTCTCTACTGCGAGGATCGTGCATCATACGTATCTAATACCGCAGTTCAAATTATACGAACTTCATATATTCATTGTAAGGAGAATTTGCTTAGTAACCAAGAGTATCTTTAGTTGGTAATCATTTTCTTCATTCTCGTAACCTCAATATGTGATTCAGGGATAACATTTTAAGGAGAAATTAGATGTTAGTTACTCTAAGTGGTTAAGGATATGAGAATAAAGAAAATTAATGCCAACTTAAAAATTTTGATTGTTGAACAGATTCTCCTTTCCATACCAAAGGAATGCTACGGTTAAAAGGACAGGCAGGAGGAACGTTAACTTCAAAATGTAATAATATTACATTAATTATTATCCAACTGCACTTCATAGAGTACAAATAACGCCATAGACGAGTACAAATATCACGCGGTATTTGTACTCTAGAATACCAGTTAAGCAGGTTTTCTCGCATTGCGCAAGCGAAGAATTGGATTGTAATTACGAAAAAAACAAATGGCGGACAATTTGAATCATATTTCCAACGACAAAGAGTCAGAATGGCTGGCAAATATAGATCCAAGTTTATTAGATGAATCGAACGAAGAAAAACAGCCAGACGACCAGGAAATTGCTTACGATAACGCGCCAATTCCGTTCCATTTCGCATACTTCTGTCACGCACTCCTCGTAAATAAATATCCTCGAAATTCACCCGCACTGAAATAACAGTTTGGCGTGTTGGATAATAACTTATTAGAAGTTTTGTTGTGTAGTATCGCTGAGTAGTTTTACTCGTTATTTGTATTTTGACTCGCCCTACGGGCTC